GTTAGTTGTGTGTGTGTGTGTGTGTGTGTGTGTGTGTGTGTGTGTGTGTGTGTGTGTGTGTTAATCCGAGTACCTTTGCAATGTTTAATAAAAGTAGAATTTTGCCTGCTATGCAGCGCGATGCGATAAGTTATTTCAAGCATCTTCCAGAATTCCTGGAGCGACAATAAATTTATGAAAGTATCGCGAGATATATAGTATATACGTAACACTATGAGAGCTTAATTATAACGAAATTCTTGCGTGACAGGCATTGCGATGTAATGATTTTTTTTTCTTAAACTTTCGCGCCGTCGCCGCGTCGGGACGCTCCCGGAATGGTGAACAATATCACGACGCGCCATGTCTTAAAAGCTCATCAACATGGCGAACTTTTAATTATTTTCACGCCGTTCTTGTTTAACATTTATATTGATGAGAGATTGACGAGAACTCTACAAGAAAAATCCTTTTATTTTTTTTTTAAACAGGAGTTTATAAAACTGTAAAAAGTTATAAACTTTTTATAGTTTTATAAACTCCTGTTACTAAATATATTAGAAAAAAAAAAGATTTTTACAATATAATAATAAAAATATTTATATATATTAATTATATATATTAAAATGAGATAATAAAATATAAAATAATTGTACATAACAATTTTATTTAATTATACTATGTAAATAAAATTTTAAGAAGATTATATTAAAAAATAGACTAGCGGAGAGAAAACTGTGAAATATTAGTTTTTGATGAAAATTGTTCGGGACGTTCCTAAGTCTAAAAATTCCGATACGTTGCATATAAGTCGCTATAACAAAGAAGCAGTTTTGACAGTACGCTGATGCATGAATCCTTTATTCTATAAGTTTGCTTCATCTTTCGTTAATAAAGTTTCTTGTTGCTGAAAGTTATGCTGCTGTCCTACATCATCGCGAATTTAATGCTCGCTTATCCAGGCAATTCGTTTCTTGCGTTAAGTAAGAGCCTGATAAAGTGATTCCCGTTTCATCGACGAAACCTCAGACTAAACCTTGCGACATACACGCTATAAACCGAAAGCTATAAACTGGTGGCAAGCACATACGATGGTAATCGTGTGGCTCAGGTTTCGGTCTACGAAATTAATTATAGCATCTCTCGGATCGCGGATATTGATTACGGGTGTTCTGTAGACATAAGCGTATAATATCGTCAGATACGCATTAGATATAGCTTCAATATAATCCATAATTATCACTGGCCCAATCATTGATCGATTACTAATCAATATGGTTGGAGTTTCTGAAAAAAAGAAAAATACTCAAAAAACAGAAAGAAAAAAAAAAGAGAGTTGCCCGTAAAATATATTTCTTTCAAATTTTGCTTAATATTTGAGACATATATTACGCTTTTCTCAATATAATGTAAAATATTTTAACATCTATTTTATTGGATATAAATTACCTGCAATTATAATTAATGTACATTATCTCCTATTAAAATAACGGGTTAAAATTTCAAATAATGAAATATCACGCGATTGAATCGATCTATCAATGAGCATCATACCGACGATTATGAAAATTTACCTCATTTTCGAGAACGTAAAAGCTCACATGAAATTTCTCCCGGAATGTAGCGATACATGTAATGAGCGAACGTATAATCGCGAATACAAATTTGTGAGCACTGCAACGACCTCGACACGCAAAATGCATGGAATTGCTATAAATTATGCGTATTAAGGATCTCTCTCGGGTATAATCCGATGCCGGTGGTCAGAGGTATTTGCTTAATGTAACGGTACTGGCTGCTGTATAGTTTGCCGTCGTTTCACATGAGCTTTATGCCTAACGATTGCGAAATTACACAGCCGACGCGACTTAAAATACAGGGACAACTTTGGACTTAAGGCGGTATATACCGGCTGACATACTTTTTAGGACGGAAAGGCCGTGTGCAAAGGCGGACGGTTATCGATTCCACCGAGGACACGATTTCGCGCGTCTTAAAACATTCATTCTCCACGTCTTAAAACATTTTTCATCCCGAAAGAAGATGCTACATCTTTTATATCAACAAAAACGGAGTATACCGATAAATAACCGACATACAACAGATAAAAAAGTACTAACAAGAGGAAACGTTAATTATGACGTACTCTTTTATTTAGTTTCTTTTTTAAAACGGAAATAAAAAATTAATATGATACAGAAGAAAAATGTATGCGCGTGTTATATATAATTGTGATAATTTTATATATACCACGTACTTATACCAGAATATATCGAACATATTATTTTTTTCTAATTTGATTTATTTTTTTCTTCTTATCTTATTTTCGCAAATCAAGCATTTTTATAGAACTGTATGATTAAGTTATAATACGCTATTCCAAGTGCAATCTTATAAAGTAGTAAGATATTTCTTTCCACGATAAAGACGTCTGCCTTACATCTGCGTACAATCAGATTCGCATCTCGCGTTCGAGATTACGGCGGTAGAAATGTCGATCACGGCTCTTTTCTTTCGCACGGCTCGCAAAATATTTGACAGACAATCGATCAATTCGGAGGAAAGCGGATCAGAGAGCGGAAGTTCCGATACCTAGAAACAAGAAACAATCGAGAAACAATATAGAAACAATCGAGCGGCCTCGCTTCGACAATGAAGATATTCCGTCATGCGCTATCTCTAAATACGGTTAGCGCTTCCATTGCGCAGAGTGATATATTTCATACCGCGCGAATAAAGCTTTAATCATAAATTATGAAGTGACGCCGCTTAAATTGCAGTGTGGTGAAAATTAACGCAATCTGATAACAGATATTGCACAGCTAGAAAGAACCGAGAGGATGAGGTATTTCCTACGAACCGGCGATTTCTCTACGTCCATAAACGTATACACCGAAGCAGCGTGAACAAAGAACGAGAATAACTGTAAATAAAATAATTACCTAATGTCTTCTCTTCGTGCGCAATATAAAGGAAATTAGTTTGTTCAATACGCCCGTACACGCTTCTTTTCTAGAAATCATATTCATTTTATTTGCATGTTCATTATGTGCGCACATATGAAGCAGAAAAAAATTCGAATAAGAGGAAAAATAAATGAAAATGCATTTTTAATTAAGCTCCCTGAAATGTCTCAGAATTTTTCCAGCAACTAGCGAGATTAAAAAAAATTCAGGTGCAAGTTCCTCGCTTACTAACTATTTCACATGTATATACACTTACAGCTATACACAGAGCTGTATACAGAGAATCTCGTACGGATATAGTATCTGGAAGCCATCGACCGAAACGCGTGGGCAAGAAATTAATTACTTTTTTGCCGTCGAGCGTACCATACATACAAGCTCGGTTCGGAATACATCTATGTCGGTATCATTTTACAGCCGTCAATCAAACGCTTTTCCATGGATTCTTTCTTTGAAAAAACGCGGGTCGCGTCAGGGTAGACAGATTCGAAAATAAGTCATTATAAAAAATGATCGGCTAAAGTTGCTTCCTTCGACTTTTTTCAATGTTGAAGTAAAGTTCGCACGGATATCTGCACAGAGATTTCCTGTAAAAAAGCATCCGGATTTAAAAACTCCGAGAATCCTAGTGATGTATGATAATTGCAAACGTTGAAAAATTCCGAAAATAAGCATTGTGAAATTAGATTCACATTGTTTGCTCAGAGATATGCACAAAATGGAGGAATTTCACTTGTGCGATATTTGACGAGGATTCTTACGTAAAGGGAACTGTCATGATAACCGGTAGTATCCTTCCGGCCGATTTATCGAGCCAACACGCCGTCGCTCGTCCTTGCTCGCGTGCGTCGGAATTACGGGGAAAAACAGTGCATCAGCTTTCGGGGAGAGAGAGAAAAATTGAGAAGAGTGAGAGAAAGAGGGAAAGAGAGAGAGGGGGGGGGGAGGAAAAAGCGTTTATCGTGCATGGTTTCATTGCGCACGTAACGCAAATGAAACTTAAATGAGTAACTAAATCTCGCGGGTCACGCGAGCACTCGATCCCGTCGCGTCGACTTTTATTGGCATTTTCGAGAGTAAAGACTGGAGTAAGGGCACTTATTAAAGGGCGGAGGAGTTGATGAATCGCCCGTAAAACGAATCCTCCTTCACCTTCTTCCCTTCAATCCGAGACGTTGGCGCGATCAAATTATACGGATTTATCGCGGCTCGCGCAGCTAAACAAGCGTTCCGCTAACTGAATAAAGCTCCACTTTGATAATTGGCGATAGCGATGCGAGCGCAAATTCGCGGTCACGAGCCCGCAGTAAATCAACGTCGTTGTTTCGAATCGCTGGTGGTTATTATTATTGCCGTCGAGCTAATGGTTGTATAAATACTCTGGATCCGCTAGGCTAAACAATTATACCGTCCAATATCATATTCTTGTTAAACGTAAAGCCAGATTAACGCGCGTATTTAGATGCATTTATTGTCGCAACATTTAATAAAAATATTCAAAAAGCGTCTTGATTATAGCCTTTGAAAGCAATGAATACTTTCCCAGTGTTACGAACCCGTAATTATGTATGGAAACCATTCATCTCACTGAGCGGCTCGTCCAATCAAGCACGACTTGTATCAACGCTGAGAAATGTGTGTATTGATAAAGAGATAGGGTGGGGCCATACAATTGAGAAAATTGCACGAGTATCGGTTTCACCCTCGCACTATAGAATTTAGACTACATGGTACGAGCGGAGGAATCTTCCGGTTTAATGCGACCAATGCGGCACTGTGCTAGCAAAATAAATTTACGATACATTTACGTTCCCGCACGTTGGTGTAATGGAAAAGGGGAGAATCGATTTTTAATAAATAGTACTGTAGAAAAGAAATATTTCGTATACAGACCGTCGCCGTTTAATTTCCGAATGTAGTTTAAAGGTACAAGCACGTTTAAAACGAGATACGTTTAAAATTATTTTTGTTTGAAATCCTTTTTTACAATATCGATCGCCTAATCGTCCATCTTTGTGCTATCGGCATTCTGTCGAAATAATTCTATCAAAAAACTTCTGCAATTTGTTAAATTGATCACTCCAATGTTTCTTAATTCTCTTGGTCTCAGATTTAGTGTCTTCTTAAATTATTTAAAGATCATGTAAATTAATCGAAAAGTAAGAATGTGTATTTCTGGAAAAGTTAATAAAGGTTGATAAATTACAGCGTTTTGATAATTGAGTTTTCATTTAAATGCTCAGTAAAATTATCTTAAATTTAAACCAATTTTGCACAAACAAGTATAAATAAGAATAGACAATAAGAAATACGCTAATGGATTGTTATTTTTGTTCCAGAATAACTATTTTAGTCTTGCTAATGAAGAACAGATTAATACTGATAAAAGTTACCATTTTTTTACGTAATATAAGTAGACGTCAGATATTTTCAAAGTTGGCAAAAAATAATGGCACACTGATAATAGCGATGATTTGCATCAATCATATTCACTCTCTGTCATGTTAGTAGCGCGATTAATCACGTTACTCTGTATTGCTTGCAACTGCTAATAGTGGCTAAATGCATTCGTCGCAAATGAGGCGGACTACGATTCAGTGAGATCTCGATAGAACGTCGAAATGCATTTGCCGTTAGAAACCGCATGATCACATCGGTGTCTCCTAATTATTCCTAGGTAATTAGAATATCAATAATTTATCACCGTGCGCGACGATGCGTGTTTGCGTGCTATTGTTATCCAAGAGGTAGAGGGATTGAATGATTTGAGGTATGACACTGCGAATCATCGTCCGATTCGTCGTGATCGTCAAATATAATGCATCCTGATATTCATGAACGTTCGAAGCTTGTATGTTGACGGAATCGGAAACCCTATGCAACGATAAATTGTACAATAAAGTGTTCCACGTTAATGCACTTGGTGCATATGCAGTCGGCAAAGTGCAAAGATAAATTGGCTCCAACTTCGCGAATCGCTTCTGAACGGAGGAGAATGGCGCCGGACCTTTAGAAGCACGCACAGCTCGTAATTTTAGCACGTTTTACAATTGATAAGCGTTCCGCAAAATTTCCGCCGCAATTTCCCGAGTCACCATTGTCCCCGGGTGAAAATGGCCGTCGGTCATTGTTCGTTCAGCGGCATCGGCTAATTTCATCGCGTCCAGGACCGGTACTGCTAACGAGCTCACCGCGAAACGGACCACGTGGACGGGATCATAGGTTGACAATGTGAGAGGAGAGTCACAAGGGTGCGGCTCGAAAATCACGGGTGTCATTGTAATCCATGGTTATACGATGGTCCGCGTAATCGACATCCCCGGTACCGAGAACGCGGCCAATCAAGCACCATTGATTCGCAGTTGGATTGGTATCCTGAACGTGCCGACCTAAGCCCCGTGCCGTGCCACCCCTAAAACGACCGGTCAATCTTTGACGGCGCGAACCCGCGTGTTTACCGGCCCCGACCCGAGAAAATGTTTTCTCCCGCCATTGAGGGAAGAGACCCTAATCGTGTTCTCGATCCCAATTTACCCTTGCGAAGAGTGATGAAGGCCCTTCTTTAATTAATAAATCGAATATCGTATTATTAGTTCCAAGAACAAAGCGACGATAATTATGAAAGGATTGACGTACAGCAATTTTAATTTTTGTAAAAAACGATTTAATAAAGAATACGATTCAAATATTAATCAATTTTCAATTAAAACATTTTGTTATCTTAGAATAATTCGCATGAAAATATTTATTTTATATATTTAAATCTTGAATTTTTTCGGCTTTTTGAATATTTTTTATCAAGAAAGAGATAAAAAATTTTTCAAAGTTTAAATCATATTTTAATCAAATATTTTATAAGCATATTTTATAACATTTTAATATAACTGCAAAAATATATAAATATAAAAATAAAATTATGTAATGTAAATGATTGTAATTTCTTTATTCCTATCTCAAAAACGTTAAAATGAAAACGCTAATATCTCAATTTTACGCATAATCGAAATTAATGATGTTTGCTTTTAATCTTTACTTTAAAAACGATTTTTTCCCTCCAAGATTCTTGGCAAAATTAAGAAAATTAAGAAAATCTTCTCTCTGTTCTTATTCAATTAAAGATTTGCGGGGCAATAACCCCCAATGAAATGCAGTTTCCTTCACTCACACCCCCAACACGACCCTCAATCAGCCGATGCCAGTCGTCATGGCGTATTGAATGGCCTTTCCTGGCTGACCTGAAGCCGCGACGCGCGCGCAGAGAACAGAGCGCATTTAATCGACAAGCTTTTGATGTCACTCGGATGAGTAGAGTTCGAATTGTTTCCAATTGTTTTCGATTCGCCTGTCGACAGTTACGCGGCTCGTAGGACTGTTAATTGCGCGTGGAGATTTGCTAATCAAAGTGGGTTTACTACGATGCACTCGCAGGTGCATCGGTGTATCTGCAATAATGATGTTAATTGTTACTACGTAATCACTGCTTCTTAAATATTGTTTCAAAACAAATCTAAATATCATTGAATATTAGATATCACATCTTTTATACTTTAGATAGAATTTAATACTTAAACTTTTTGAAGGATATTATTAAAAATCAAAAATCGAAAGAAAAAAAGACAATTCTCTACCTATTACAACTTAAAAGTTTAATTTTTTTCAAAGAAAGAATTAAAGGGCAAGATGATGAAGACGTCAAATAAAAAACTGGAGCACTCGTATCTATTTATACCAATGCTGGCCATCAAAAGGGTGTAACGCGGAATCGTGAAAATTTGTTCCTCGTCGGTCACATCGTAGCTTGCCGGAAATCTTTCATTGTGGACAATTCAGACAATTCGACGTTGACAGGTCGGATTTGTAGCGGGCGTTGTTAATTTGTGCTGTTAACTCTCGACACCTTGGGAGTTCGACCGAGTTTTTATCGATACGCGCGATGCTTCGATCCATTTCATTTCACACTTCGCTTTTCGCGCAAATCTATTCATGCAGTATAATTTAAGTTTATAACAGCACGATAACGTTACACGGAAAGTATTACAGTAATAATTTCCATATTTGTACTATATTCGTACTCGTATTGCGTGCCAGAAATATCGTTAAATTGTAAAAGAATAAATTCAAAACATGTCACTTTCGAGCATGTTTTAAATATGCCATGAAATAACGCAATTTGCAGTATAACTCTTTTTGAATTTCAAATATAGCTAAATATCAACTGCTTAGCTCTTGCAGTAACTCTTGCAGTAAACTTTATATTTAAAATTTAAAATATCGCAATTTCTCGTATGTACGTATATAAAACTAAATATGTAATTATTATTATTATTATTTGCATCTGTAAAAAAATTAAGATATTATTACTCTTAATACGTCGTAACAAAATAAAAACTTACAATACAATCGGATACTATAAAATGCAGCAATGACGATGATCCGAAAAAAAGATCCGATTAATCGTAAACATTTTTTAGAGATTAATTTTTTAGAGACATAATTTGAAGGAATACCGCTGTAATATTTACGATGGCTATATAAAGTCGACTCTCTGACGAAGTCGCCACTTCAAATCTATTTCCGTTTTCATTTCAACGCGACATATGTATTGTCCGCGTCATAACGTCATATCGAGTTAGTCTGCAGCAAGTAGCGTCGCCTTCTGAAGCAGCCTCAAGAGGCATGCGGAAGCGCGTTTGAACACGAAGGGAAGTGGCGGCCCAGTTTCTATCCGCACACGGGTATCTATGGTCAGTTAGCTGGCTAGCTTCAATCGTGCCATAATTTCGTATAAGCTTAAGTACAGCTTAAGAGTTTCTTTTTAACAAGCGATAAAGGCAATATAACATTTTAAATATGCGTCGTATTTCTTCCAGGAAAACACCTTGCAATTTAATAATTTTAAAGGAAAGACACATTTGTTGTATTATTAATTCCACCGGTTATAAAATTTAATTTTTTAACAGTTTTTTAAATAGTTTGATTCTTTTGGCATTTTAAAGATAATGAATGTTATGCAACGAACGTTATGTTATTACGTAATTATATTGAAATTTTAGTTTTTATTAATGACTTCAAATAATTCTTGACTCTTTTAATATAAAAATAAGATGATCAGAGATGTTCCTTTTTTTCTTTAAAATTTTTAAAAGTCGATCACTTTAAATTACACGCACTCACCGAGATTCGACACGTTCGCGTAAAGATAATAAAGCAGCGGGAGGTCAAATCTCATGCAGCGTTTCTTAACATAAAGATAATTATTTTTCGCGACAGAAAATGTCACAAATTATTATGATGTATAGCGCATATGATGAAAAATATATATAGTTTTATTTAAGTGTCTTTTATTAAGTTTATTTTAATTTATATTAAATATATAAAATATATAAAATTATATATTAAATATATAAATATATTAAATATATTAAATATATAAAATAGTAATTTTCTATCGTTACGAAAACGGTTAATTACGGTTTTTAAGTAATTATCATAAAAGCATGCTAAACTAAACTATATCGCATTTCCATTCTTATCAGCTTCGGCAGTGACCGTGAAACGTTATCGAACGATAACAGCGCAGTCATAATTATTAACCAATATAATTATATTGAAATTTTACTTTTTATTAATGACTTCAAATAATTCTTGACTCTTTTAATATAAAAATAAGATGATCAGAGATGTTCCTTTTTTTTCTTTAAAATTTTTAAAAGTCGATCACTTTAAATTACACGCACTCACCGAGATTCGACACGTTCGCGTAAAGATAATAAAGCAGCCAACGGCACCATCGAAACAGCCTGACAGCCGAGCGCTGAAAAACGACGAGGTCGATCATCGTCACGTAGACGTAGACCAACGATCGGTTTCGACTTCGAGTAATGCGACCCGCGCATCGACGATCTGCGTACTGAAGTGGCCCACATTTTATAAACGCCGGCATATCGCGTACCACTACATAATATGTGGGGACCGTCTAGCGAGAAAAGAAGAACGAGAATGAGAGCGAGCGAGAAGGAATGCGATTCGTGCTCGTCTCCCCTACTTGAGTCCAAACGAATGACGCCATTCATAATTAAGATGAAAATCCGGATGCTGGATCTCTCATGCCCTTGGCGTCTCCGAGAAAAATATATGTATATATTATATATTAGAAATCGCTATCGAAATATCGTATAATGACGCCAATTGAATATTTTGATATGTTTTTAGGAAAATTATATGAAAATATTAGATATATAAATTTATATAAATTTAGCTTGTATAAATTTGCGTCTATTATAGCACTCAGATTTTTATTTCATAGCAATTTCATTCATTGTTTTTTTGAATCATTTAAATTAATCATTTAATTATTTCGTTTCACACCCTATCCTTATCTGTTGCATCGACTACATCAAGTCAGTATGTCAAAAAAAACTTATTCGATAACAACAAATGCAAAATTATTCATAAGAAAGATTGCACGCGTAAAATGAATCCCGGCGCACTCAGTCCACTCAGATTCAATCTGAAATGGTAATGGTGGAAATAATTAACGCCTCATCGCGCTATACAGAATCCGGACAAAGATGGCGGATTCGCGCAATTATTAAATTCGCCCTGTAGCGCATTGCGCGAACATTCATTGTATACTGTTGACGGAATGGGGAAGTTAGTTTACTAGCAAAGCAATAAGAGAATTACCTTCCTACTAGATGTGTGTGTGTGTGTGTGTGTGTGTGTGTGTGTGTGTGTGTGTGTGTGTGATTTTCGCACAAGAGGCGTTATACTCAATGCGTCTGTTATGTGGTGTTAAAAATGTCATCATGTTCCAAATTGGTTTACCGTCAGATGCCATCACTAATCATAGCGTGTTTAGTCAACGAAGAATGAAGCAATAGTAGTAGTAGTATAGCAGAAAGTATAG